GAGCTCATTCCCTGAGGGAACTTCCTTGGCACAACAGCTGGTCAAAGATTAGGCTCTCATTCTGAGTTTGGTTGTGTTTTGCCGCCTGACTCTTGCATAACATAATTCTATCGCTTGTATCTCAGGTAGTTTTAACGGTCATATCTTTTATTAACTTTAATCCTCAGTTTGAAAATTGGCAGTACAAACCAATGGTTGTGCACCAGTCCTCTTCATTGTGTTTGTGGTTGGCAGACTGGGCATCAAAAAGTAAAATTAAATTGATAAACTCCAGAAGAAGAAGTTAGAACTGGTTCCAATTGATTATTGATTTTCTGTACCCTAATTAAAAGTACCCTAAAATGTATAATATATTAGATATCTTTGTTTAATATATAGTATTTTTAAATATTCATCAAACACAATTATTAACAAATCAAAGTTTTCCTACACCATTCATAATTTTATATTTGCATATTAATCTGTTTTGGATTGTGTAATTATAACCTATACGGATGCACCATAGTGAAGTAGTTATCTAAGTAAGTGATATCAAAAAAGCTTTAAAAAAATGTTTTTGTAATATTATTTGTTGAAGAAACTACCAGCCTTTTAGCCAGGCCAATTTGGGAATACTTAAAATCAGGTGGGTTAAAGAGGTTAAAGTTTTATACAAAGATCATAAAGTTATCCACAATATAATAAGTCATGCATTGGATAATATAAGTATCTGGATTTTGAGAATCAGACATTTACAGTTGCCATTGAATGCAATAAAAGGAAATAGCTTTGCAGTTTTCTATATTTTTGTTCTTTGTTGTTTAAAGTCAGTATTTTTTTCTCCTTTTATCATATACCATTCTTGTACATTTGGGTCAAATGCTTGTTTGGAATTATGATTGTGCTTAAAGTTCCCTATTTAACTTTCTATCGTTGTAAGAATTAATGCATGTGAATTTATTTATCCAGCCTGTCCTTTGAATTCATAGGTGTCTGAACCATATTTTTTTCTAAGCCTGGCTAAGAGATAGAAACACATTGAAAACAAATTCAACAATAAATTATTAAACCATACATGTAAACAGCTTAGCAGATTGCACAACAGTAAACATGACAAGCACTGGCGCCTTCCCGTACTGTATTCTCACATAAGGCTTTAAAATTAGTCAGTAGCCCAGAAGTAGCTGGAGGGCTCGTTATTGTGATGGTGGAAAGAAGAAGGCATTTTGAAAATGACATCTCTACATAAAATTATTCTGTTCTCTGGAACTTGAAGAGTAATTCACATGTTCAAATTCTGCCACAAGCCATTTCACTGGCATCAAAGTAAGTCCGTGTTTTTTGTGCGGTGCTTAGTGAACAAAAGGTTATTGTTTTCTTTTCTAATCCCATTCAATGGAACAAGCGTCGAGGGCCATGGTGGCTGCAACCAAGAAGAAATTTAAGATTCTCCGAAGATATTGTTGATAAAATACCGATTGGTTTAAGAATTCTGTTGTTACATTTAGTTACATATCAGTTTATGGTAAACATTATTACAAGTAAATACCTAAAATTTGAAATAAAAAAACAGAAGCGGTTTATGTTTTTATTTTTCTTCACTTCCTTTCATCTATTATGTTAAGCTGATTTCACTCCTGTTGTAAGATTACACATAAACTAATTTTAAATATCTTTAGGAAAAATTTAGAAATAGTTTGGTCTGTTATATGAACTACATGTAAACTTATAGCTGGATTTAAACATTGTAAAATAATTAGTAAAATAAAAGCATTAACTTATGCTGAATATTTACTTATAGGTTTTATTTCTTTTTCTACTTGTTAAACATTAACAGCTTAGTGTATTTAGTAATAAATAAAGCTTTATTTAGTTTTATAAATATGTTTTAATTTGCGATTGTAGTTTGAAATCCATGCTATAAAACTTTTACTTTTGTTTTTCTAATAATTTAATATAGCTGTTGCTTTTTAAGTGTTTTTCCTACAAACATGAGTGGGTTTGAAGCTAATCAGGCAAAACTAACAAAAAAAAATACGGTACTATTAGAATGAAGGTTAGAGAAGAATGAGCAGGTTTCCTAGCAATTGGAGAGTATGGAATCCATGTGAGTGCTATTTAATGCAGATTTATCAGTTTTACTGAATGATCTTTCTGCAGTATTTGCTTTTCTTTGTTTTCAATCCTTTTAAGAGCACAGGTATAGAGGAATTTTTCTCTTGCCAGCTTCAAAGTTGGAGTTTATGTCATATCTTGCTCGAATTACAAAAAGCATAGGGGGGTGTAGATGGTGAGCTGACCTTTTAAGGATGTAGGTTATGAGGTCAAGAATAACTTTACAGTAAAATTCTTGGTCCCTTTAGAAAGGTCCCTGTGTAAAAGTAACCTGTAAAATATTTTTCCCACTTTGAATAATATTGCTGATGTCCCTAATTCTAATTTATTTCTGATAAATGGCCACCCTGCAGTACCTCTGTGACCCATCCCACACTGAAGACATCTGTTCTATTGCCTAAGATAACTTTTAAAATCTGCAACACATATTTTGCAACTACAATCATTGCCATTGTAATATGTATAATTGATCTGATTCTTGTTAATAAAGGTATCAAAGGATTATGTACCTCGGCTGTAAATTAGTAGAATGTGCAATCTTGCCACTAGTAAAATGACTTGCTGAAATTTCAACTTGTCATAAAAATATGGAAAAAAGAAGGATTTAGGTGACTGGGTGTATGGAGTAATTGGTGTTTAGTGGGCTGGTCAATTTCTGAAACAGTTGACCTTTGATATTTCTAAAGACATTCATGCATGGGGTTTACAGCCCAATTAATCATCCATAGAAGGGGACATATACAATGATCAGCATTTGTTTGGGCAGAAATGTTTAGTTGGTGTTCAGAGGAGTGGCATAGTTCAAGATGACTGAAGGGCTGCAGTAATTCTTGGTAAAAACATGTGAACCTTTGAAAGAGAAGCAGCCATAGATTCCCTAAATTTCACTCTAGGCAGCTAAAACAAAGAAACCAATGTTTAAATTATTACAATGTCTCCTAAATGTGACTGTGAAATAAACAGCCTGGTGCAATGCATTTTGTCTGGAGCTGCAACATTTAAATACTAAGGTCAGCATTTAACAAAGAGGAATAAAGTATGTATCTATCCATAAATTTAGTATTTGGATGGTAATTGCCTCTACATACAAAAAAAAAGCCCAAATATTGTTTTCTTTCGTGTCCGTTTACATTTTTGTCTTTGATTAATAAAATGTGAAAATGTAGACCCTTCAAAACATCTTGATGTATCAGTGATCACAAAATTGGGACTTTTTTTCATTTAAAAAAAGCTTGATTTTAAAAAAACAAATTACAGCCCCATCCTCTTTAAGACTGACAAGATACACATACTGAGGAGAACACTGTATAATTTATACCAATTAGCAGCCATGCCTTTTGTACTTAAGTAGAAGGTAAAATTTTTCAGATAGGTAGGGACAAGTGCAATTAGCTGTGTCAGACAACATACTCTATTTACCTGCAAAACTAATGGTGATGAAAACTTGCACCCCATAATTGCAGATCATTCAAACTCCAAGTAATTACTTAATTAGTATTGTTTTCTCATGTATACACGATGACTTCAGTGCTCAGCTATCACACCTATTTTCACTCCATCTCCACCGTACCAGGCTGCTTACTTCTTCTTTTTCTACAGCGGAGAAGAGCATGAATATTCAGTAATGATGTAGAAGCAGTTACTTAACTTGGTGCAGGTTATTTCTCGAAACTGATTTCTTTGGATAAAATGTACGCATAGTATTTTCAGTAGACTCTTTTTTCCCTTGAAATCTAAATGGGATTCATTTTATTACTACTGATTTAAAAAAAAAATAACACTATGTTGTATGATAGCTGGGCTCATAAAATTGGTTAAGGGATTTGTACTCTGCAGGAGCATTTAAGCTGCATGTTGAAACGGGTTTGTAGATAAATATCTGAATGATGCAAACCTACATTAGCTGTTTTCATTAACATTGGGTAACCCAGATTCTAATGGTATTTTTTATTTGAAAACCAAATTGAAAAGGTTGTTCCTCCTCTTGACAAATATACTTAAAACATAATTCATATGGTTTCAGCCGCCAGATATATTTAGCTTTTTTTAATTGAAGTTGCACAGTTATGCTAAAATTTAAAATAAAATTATAGCAATCATTTTGGTCATCACAATTACTCACTGAGTTTGTATTTTTTGCACTTGAAAAGACTCAAAAAACTCTGTGTCTACACCTTGAAGCTTTGTCTCTTCGGTTCTTTTTCCTGAAAAGAGATCACTTGGGAACAAACTATTTAAATAACACTTCATAACTTATATGTATTAAATAACCATGAGATATGACAAAAGATTTTGATAGAAATCGTAATCTTACTCAGATCAGAGAAGTTGGTTAGTTACCGAAGGCAGCTGCTTACCAACCAGGCTCACTTCTCGGGATGTGGCCCCGATGAACAGTTAAAGAAGCATTTCACTCCAGTCTGCCACATCATCTCATCATTACATCACTTAGTTTGCAGATGAGGAGACATCCATGGCTCCAGGTTTATCAAAATATTACACTTTGTTCTTAGCTGAAGGACACCGCTGCCATTCCATTCCCAAATCTTTGCCACGTACAAAATTAAGATTGTATGTAGCCGGACTGAGGAACTGGCCTAATTAGATAAACTACTGGGGAAAACTTTAGTTCTGATACGCAACAGACAGCTAATATTAAGGTGTAATAAACATACATCATCAATGATAATTATCCTAACATATGCAATAGCTTTATTTTTTTATTGACTCTTTAGGACAGGGCATAAAAACCATGGAACATAATATCTGAAAGCTTAGAAATGATTGAAACAGACTTTTGTGAATCTGATTATTTTTCAATTAAGCTCTCGATTTTCTTTCCATATTGACTAGTATATTTTAAAATGATATAATAATCAGATGTTCTTGCTGTTTTTTTCTTTCAGGTGGGCTCGCAGCGCTGGTGGGAGCAGGAGATCCCTGTGGGAGATACCATCGGCAAAGGGGAGCTCATGACTCATAACCTGACTGAGCTGATAAAACCTGAATCTTATGAGGTGCGTCTTACTCCCATCACTCGCTTTGGAGAAGGAGACTCAACCATCCGGATCATAACCTACAGTGGTAAGTGTCACAAACCCTGTCAGATCTGACTTTTCCCAATGTTGTCTCAAGTAGAGAATCAAAGCAGGCTAAAGACTGATAGATGTCTGCTTCTGTGTGTGACCCTAAAGCACAGTGCTGTAATAGTCAGTTTAAATGAATATTGATTCATTTATTTATCTATTGAATATTGATTTGCACTGCCGACTGTTTATTCACAGTACCAATTGTTTACATATACATTTGCAATAATGTACTTTAACTGTAATATGCAATTACCTTCCACTGCACTTTAATTTAGATAGCTTCTGTCCAAACTTTATTTATTAATTTATAGTAAAATTCATCCGAATATATGCTATTGTACATAACTGTAAAAACCCTTTTCATAGTAATATCCACCTATATAGTACATTTGGTACATATCCAGCTGTAAATTTAGTTCATAACACTAGTGCTATTGCACTTCTGGTTAGACCTAAACTGCATTTTGTTGCCTTGTACCTGTACCTGTGTAATGACAATAAAGTTGAATCTAATCTAATCTAATCTAATCTAATCTAATCTAATCTAATCTAAGGCTGTGCACTCAAATTTAGCTCCAGTGTGTGCTTCATGTGACACATGTTCATCAGTTCATGGATGAATATCAGCAGTTCACCTTGGTATCAGCTGCCATTTCTCTGATCATGATAGATATCTATTATGCATGATATGTAACAGTAAAAAGTGAACTCATTAAAGTAATTTGAATTGCATCAAACACATTAGGTCTCATGAGGACAGCCTGATTTCAGCATGCTTTGCTTCTTTCCAGTTTGAGCCCAATGAATGCTGATCAACTGACTAATCTCTTCCTCTGACCTTTATTCCCTGAGTCAGGTTTTTATCCTTTGCTGGGTTAAAGGCTGACTTTTTGTGTCTGTGTTTGTGTGTGGTTGAGAGATCGCAGTAACATCAGAGCATCAGATGACTCAAATATGTCACTTAGGTCATGAGACCAAACAAAACTGGTCAGAGATGAGTCATGTTTCACTGCATTCAGTTTGCTCAGAGACATTTTTTTTTGTTTGTTTGTTTGTCTGAGACTTCATTTCTACTTTCCTGCCAGAGAATCTGTTGTGTCTCCTGGAATGCTGCTCAAATACCACATAGGTATTTATATTACTACAGTGAGCAAACAAAGCAGTCATAATGTCTCATCTTGTCATAGACTGTAAATATATTGTATTTTCCAGACTATAAACCACAACTTCTTTCCCACGCTTTGAACTATGCAGCTTTTCTGTGTATTTTCCCTAACTGCCAGAGGGTGAAGACAGAAATGACTGAATAGGGGGCTAATTGTTATTTAGCACAAGAAAATGCTAGCAGCAGGCAGGACGGAGAACAAATATCCAGAATTCACACATTTTGACATTTATTTGCTACATTAAAGCTGCCGAACCAATAAAGAGACTGGGCTCAACTCCTGCAGAGCTGAAATAATGAGTCAACAAAGCCCCATCTTTCATTAGGAGCTCTTACTGCTGTGAGCCAACAAGCTAACGGGAGCTAGCATTCTTCTTCTCCCCTACTCAAGGGGCTATATGTAGAGCTCCCCCTACAGGTTTGGTTGGCGGCAGTTCAGTAGATATCTGCAGCTTATAGCTCGTTGCGACTTACCATGTGTAAGTTTCCATTTTTTTGAAATATGTGTTTAGGAAAATTACTATAATAAATTCCAAAAAGTTGATGTAAAAGAGGATTTTACGATATCCACAACAGAAGCATACCACCGCTGCTTCAGGAATCAAAATAGAGGATATTTACCCGAATAAGCCGCTCTATGCATGTCTTCTTCCAAGCAAAACCCTTTGAAAACAAAATTTCAAAGCTAAATTGGCACACTAAATATCTGAGTTAGCATAAAAAGCAAAGTAACTAGCCGTCCTTTAACTTTTTTTTATTCTTTATCAACAGTGTACGTACTATTAAGCAAATAGGATAACACAAATGCAAAGAGAGTTTTATCTCTGCCTGACCAATTCAGTTCTATTCAGTTTATTTATGTAACACTAATTCACAACATATTTCATCTCAAGGCACTTTAATGAGACAATTCATGAGCAGGAAAGATACATGTTATTCAGTTTAGCTATATTCCTACACAGCCTGGAAGTGACTAAATTTTAGTAAGGAGTCTAAAATTAATTGGAGCAACAGTGGCGTCCGTGTGCAGGAATTTGCCCTGCAATCTGAGGGTTGTTGGTTCGAGCTCCGACGTTCAGTGTCCTTGTGTCCTTGGACAAGACACTTCACCCTCATTGCCTACTGATGGTGGCCAGAGGGCCTGGTGGCGCCAGTGTACGGCAGCTCCGCTTCTGTCAGTGAGCCCCAGGGCAGCTGTGGCTACAATAGTTTGGCACCATCAGTGTGTGAGTGTGCATGAATGTGTGAATGACTGAATGGAGTGTAAGACACTTTGGTCAAGTCCTCCTGACTTAAAAAATCGCTATATAAGTAGAGGCCATTTACCATTTCAATAGGTTAACATAAGTTGATTCAGAAAATGAATTACTGGCCAAAATCGTTTTTTTTTTAGCTATACTGTGAGAAATTTGTGTATTATGGATCATTTTTGGAAGAGCACCAAATTACAGCCATTACAGCAAGTTTAAAAAGTTTTAAAAAGCTTCCCACCTAACTTACCTCTCCACAGAATATTGTTCTAACAGTTGTGAGGACCATGGGCAGGAAATCACTTTTCTTTTTTTTTTCTTTTTTTTTTTTGCTTTTTTTTTTTGTTTGTTTTAGACAATTAGACATATTAAATTAGGAAAATTTTACAAATGGGTTCATTTGAAATATTTCCTCATTTAACAAGTATTGCACAACGCCAATATTCTTCAGAGACTACACAAACCATTACAATGCAGTTTAATGGAACGACGGGCTGCTCAGTGGAACAGTGGGCCTTGCAGCAAGAAGGTTCTGGGTTCGATTCCCGGCCCAGGGTCTGCTTGGAGTTTGCCTGTTCTCCCTGAGCATGCGTGGGTTCTCTCCGGGTACTCCGGCTTCCTCCCACAGTTGGACAATTGGCTTCTCTAAATTGTCCTTAGGTGTGAGTGTGTGTGTGAATGGTTGTTTGTCCTGTGTGTCTCTGTTTTGCCCCGCAATGGACTGGCGACCTGTCCAGGTTGTACCCCGCCTCTCGCCCATTGACTGCTGGAGATAGGCACCAGCACCCCTCGCGACCCCACTCGGGACAAGCGTGTCAGAAAATGGATGGATGGAATGATTTTATTAAGATAAAATAATGCAGTTTTCAAACCAGAACCAGACCCATATCAGCAAATTATCTTTTATTTCCTTTTGAATATTAGGTGTATCGTCTGTTATATGATGACGAAAACTAGGAGAAAAAGGGAAGCTTTTAATTTAATTTAATTTTCACAAAGCACTTTGATAAGGAGTTTGGTCCTTAAGGATAAATTTGTTCATTTACTGTAGAATTTAAGACAAAGGCAAGTATTAGATTTGGAAAGGATTTTGGTTTATAAAGGTTAAAAATGGAGACCAAAGAGAAAACAAAATATTTATTCTACAAGATGCTAGGGAGACTGTAGCCTTAGAATAAAAAGAAAGATTCAATCAGCCAAACACAGAAGATTTTTGTTTTTGTAGGTATATCAGCCTGGTGAGCCATTAAATATGCACTGTAATACACTTTTATCGCAGACATAAAATAAGAGTTTGCAAGGACCTTTTTATTCTTCAACTGTGCGGCATGTTGACTGATATAAGATGAAAAGGGTGACAGAACCATCAAGATACCAAGGTACTTGAGATGTGCATTTTCATAAAGTAACTGTTTTTTCGTCTATCACTGCCTGCTGAGATCTTTCCGAGTGGTGCTGCTGCAGTTGTGAATAATTCAGTTTCACTGCAGCTCATCATGGCTGTAAGGAGAAAAGAGAATTGGAGAAGAGGGAAAGACGGAGAAGCAGACTAACTTTCCCCCATGGTCTGTGCTAAATCTTGAATTGAAATCAGATTAACTCAATCAAATTGAAATCAGTCAAAAGTGTAAAGAATTGTGGTTAATTAAGGCAGCTAGAAGCTCAGGAGGATAGACAGAGGAAGCCAAACTGGGGCCAAAGAAAAAAAAGGGAGAGACGGAGAGAAACAAAGTCAGTTTGGTGTTCAAATCTCCAGCCTGCACAATGAGAGACTGGACTAATTATCACTCTAGGGGTGCTCTGTTCTCCCACGCGCTCTATAACGTCACCGTATCAGGCCAACACAGGTCTTAGCCAAATTCATTCTGCACTGAAAACGTGTCCCATTAGTCACCCTGACTGATGGGGGAAATACGATCCAAGATCGTCTCTGCTATGGCTTCTATACAATTATGGTTGGAGAGCTACGACCTGAGGGGCTCTTGTGTACAAACTATTAGTGTTTTGTTTTTTTTGCTGTCACAGATTTGCAATATTAGACTATGTCTATGTAAATGTACTTTAGTTATTGCTAACTATGCAATTAGCTATTGATACGTTTATCTTATTATAGCCATTATTTAAAAAACTACATTTGTCGAATATGAGTGAATAACTGTCTATAAACGACACAGTTATTATATCTCCTATATTCATAATCGCTTTCTCTCAAAGCTAAATCAATAGTCAGCTCACTTTCTTTAGTCTTGCTGTTAAACCATGTTTGAGGTACTCATGAGAACAGAATACCCACTGAATAACCTGCCAAATCATTTTTAAACAGAACGTAATTTTTACTTTCAAAGCAGCAACACTTCGCATCTAAGACTGCGACTAAAACTCCCACACAGCCCAAGAAGCAACAAGGCTTTTTATCCTCAAGCAACCCACTACTCATTAGCAGTCTGAGCTAGTTTTAGTTTGTGTTTAGCTATGTTATAGGAAAGGTTAAGTGACTGACTGCTTTAGTGTTGAGGTGCTCGCATGTCTCCAATGTTTTGCCCTATCGCTATCAGAAAGAACACTTTGTAGTACCTTCCA